AGATGATCAGTTTATTAACAAATAAGTTTTCCCCGACACATCTATGGATAGACTTTTTCAGGAAAACTTCACTTTTTCGCTTGTGGCTTCAAAATCTCCACCTTGACATTCTGGGTCCCTTGTCTGCAAAGGGGGGAGGAAGTAGGGAGGCAGAATGACCGGAAGTTGAGTCCGATTTCTCTTCACTCTTCCTCTTTAGTAAAAGGTGAACTATTTGTAAGATTGGAAGAGAAATCAGAGTATTCTCTTCCTCCTCTTGGGCTTTGTTAAAGTCCATGCTCCCTACCGTGGGCCCATCCCACTGAGGGGCCTGTGGAAACACTGGCCACCGTAAAAGATTTGGCGGAACCGCTCAGGGTCTGGCCGAGGATAGCCCAGTTCTGGGGGTCGAGGCCACACGTAAGTAGGGGCAGAGTGAAACGAGCTTCAGAGGAATTCCAGGCTGAAGCCCTGTGGCGATACTTGGAGGAAAGCATCCCAAATCATACTTATGAGTCCTGTCGTGGAAGTCAAGGACAGAAAGTGCTCAGGGGCCCTCCTTAGCCAGCCCTGCCCTGGACTCCTCACCACAGTGCGGAGAAAAGGGGAGGGGCCAGGAGTCAGGACCGGTTTCAACACAGGCGAAGTGATCTTGGGAAGAATAGACTGCCTTCGCCTCCTCTTTGTTCAATTTCTCCATCTTAAATGATGGGTTGAATTAGATGACACTTTAAAGGCCCCCTGGCTAGAAAATTCTGATATTTCCTTTTGGGTACAAGGTAGGATGGGCTTTGAGAGGTGGCAGAAAGGCACAGCCCCCTTTGCCTCCCAACCCCCGATTTTCTCTGCAGGGAAGATGGCAGTCATGGGCACTCATTTCTGGAGGACCTCCCTGGTCAGCTTTCAGGCTCCCACCCTCAGGAGTGGGGCTTCTAATCAGCGGGCGTCTTGGCTTTGGAGTTGGGAACTTTCTTCCCAGAATAGGTAACAGACTATTGAGGGAACACGGTGACTACGCAAAAATAACCACCATATTTTGAGCACCTACTGTTTGTCAAGCACCATGTTGGACGTTTACCTTACTGCTTATCCTTACAGCAGCCTTTTGAGGGGTGTGTCCTCCATTCTACAGGTGAACACCTGGGGACTCAAGAGTGGTTAGGCGACCTGCAGTCTTAGGAAAGGTTACCTGTGTCTCTCTCTACCTTTCTCCCTAAACAAAGATACATTGTCTAAGGTGGCACTTTTCCGAAGAAATAAAAGACAAAGTCACTGAAATTTAGTGAGCGATGCTTGGGGTCTGAGCTCCCTGGAAGTCACCGCTGTTGTAACCTCCCCTCTAGGGGGACTCGCGAGGCTGGCTAAAGGTTGGAGACCTGGCCAGATGCCTTTCAGGAGTGCCGAGTCCTCGTTTTCTGGGATTCTAGGATTACAGCTCAGTACATAATTCCAGAAAAGAATTACTCTCTGCTTTATTAAACTTGTCTGCACTTAGGCAAAGTGGACTGTTTATTCTCTGCAGGGTTTTTCTTTAAAGGAGCGGGGAGAGTGAGCATGTGCAGAAATCCATCACCTTGCTTTACAGTTTCCAGGCAACCATGCAGGATTACAAGTCACATGATATCGCTGCTGCCAGCGAGAAGGGGAAAATGGAAAACTGTGCTATCTTGAGAAAGGGGCTGGGTGCAGGCAAAGGACTTTGGATTCTCCTCCAGAAATATTATCTACAAGTTGTCAAAGACCTGGAGGCCCCAGAGGGCTCCTGGCTTCTCCCAGCCCAGCCTCCTGCTGGATGGGCAGTGTATCACCAGATATGAAGTGGGGGCATGGGGAGAAGTGGTGAGATGGAGAAGGAGTCATTGGCCCAAGGTGACCAAGCACCTGTTCTAGAACCCAGGCTCTCTGAGTGGTCATGAGTGAGAAGATCTAACCTGAACTAGGCCTGACTCCTGCATCCCCCTTTCCAGTCCCTCCCTGTGGCTGCTGCAGCCCTGAGAAAATGAGGGAGCAGGGCCAGGATGATCAGGGCTGGCTGGGGGACAGTGAAGTGTCAGTGGAGACGGCTGGGGGTGGGGGAAAGAAGCCACCCGTGAAGACCAAGTTTCCACTTCCTTTCTTAAAGCCTCCTCTTCCTGATCATGGTTTATTTTGATTTTGGAAGTTTTGATTTTTCGGCCTCCCCTCCCCCCACACATGCATGTGTGTGTGTGTGTCGTGTGTGTGCACGTACATACACACTGTGCTGTTTATATTGTAGACGCTTCTGTGGCAATTCATCCCCTCCTGTATATACTTTTGCTCCTGTAATAACACCCTCCGGGGCCTAAAGACTCCCTGGAACCACAGGGACAGCTTTGCTTCTGGCTCTCCTGGGTCCCTGAGGGGGGTGGACATGCCCTTGGCATGGGTCCCACATATCAGCCTTCCCAAAGGCTGAACTGTTAGAGAGGAGCCGTCTGCAGTGGACCGGCTTCCAGTTTGCTCATACCCAGCAGCTGTCCCAAGGCAAAGATGAGTCATCAGGCCACACTCTCACTGGTCTCCCCGGTTTGCCCTGAGGTGGCTGTATTCCATAGCCTGGACTGCTGGCTTTATGCCAGCCTGGCCTCCCGGGGAGGTGAGCCCAGAAGGGCAGACCATGGACACAGAGAAGCAGGTGTTGGGGAGGGAGATGCCACCCGCCTTGGCACCCGGGAGCTAAACAAGGCCTCTAGTCCCTTGTCACAGCCCCAGAGGCCGGGGGTGGTTGAGCACAGCCCCTGCAGCTCGCCCTGTCCCGGCAGACCATGGGGGGTGTATCTTCCCTGTCTTTCCTACCCTTCCACACTTCTTGGATGTTTCAAAGTTCTGAACGCCTAAGGACAGGTCGGAGGCACCTCTGCATTGAAAAAGCGTTGTCATCCTGTAAGTTCGAGAAGAAAGCAGATAAAGAAAAAGAGACTAGATTGGAGAGCCCAAGCCTTCCACAGCTCTGCTGGTGCTGGGCTCTTCCTTTCGTTTCTGGAACAAATTTGGTTTACACCTTTATGTTTTTTAAGAGGAGAAGAAGTTAATTATTAGTTTGTCATAGGAGGGGTCATTCTATAACAATAGATGAGTAGATAAATAATGTCCTAGGTTTGTGGCATATTTTCTTGTTACATTAAGTGAGAAGAGAAGGTTGCGCCTCATAAACGTAATTGGGGGAATGTGAGCAGGGGTTCAAAGGTGACAGTGGGGTGAGGAGTTTTCGATACATTAAAACTGCGGGTGGAGGGGAAAAAAAGACATCACATTTCTGTTTAATATGTAACACGGGAGGGTGGGGGATGCTTGCAGGAAAGTGTTGGGTATGCGGTTGTTGTGGAAAGGTGGTAGGTGGCTGTGCGCTAAGGACGGTTCTGATGGCCAGGTTGGGAAGCTGGGGTTAAATCTTCAGGGAATCGAGGCATGCTTTCTCACGAGGTGTCGGATCCCATCTTCAGCACTCAGGCCTGTGCTGGCAGAGTCACACCCCCATTCACACGTCCACAAACTCACACACTGCCCTGTGGTCCTAACTCGCACGCAGGTACGGTGCCTGCATCAGCACGCACACGACTTTCTGCTTCCCGGCCCGCGTTCGCCCTATGACACTTGGCCTGTTGATCTCAGGGTAATAACTCCTTTTTCAAGATCCTCCAAGCCCAGATTCCCAGGGAAACTTGAATAGAGATGGGAAAGTGTTTGATGATAGAAAAAAAAAAAAAATTCTGCTTGCTTGCAGTTCTTGCGACGGCCAGAATGCTACAATAAACTGTTGCTTTCCAGAGCTGGGAGGACTAGGGCAGGCAGCAAGAGGAAGACAGAGCAAAGAGGCCAGAGAACTTTAAAGACTGAATCAGAACTGGGGCGGCGGGGCCTGGCGGGGGGCGGAGGACGGCCGGGACCGGTTAACAGGGAG